ACCTCCACGCGTAGCTCCGCTGCGCCTCGATGGTGACACGAAGAAGGGTAAGCTGCTCCGTCTATGTGTAGCTTCACCACCGGGTGAGTCAAAGGAGACGTCGTGCCATGGATGATCTTTTTTTATACACAAGCCACCCGTTCGGTTGTTATGCACGCTGATGGTTAGGATATCCAGCTAGCTAGCTACAAAAACTCAACAGAATTTTAGTATTCAAACGGCCGGCCAGCTGCATGTCCTTCCACCGCTAACGGCTAGGTAGCTGAGTGTTTGTACGCAACGGCTAGGCAACAATACTTTGTTTTGCGGCAACAACCAAACATGTCACAGTAATCTCAATACTTCAAGATACTTTGGTATTATCAAAACTATGGTATCTTGTGCCCATTGACTAAAATACTGTGGTTTTTAATACTTCGGTTTATCTAATATTTTGCTACCAAACATAGTTGTAGGTTAAAAAAATGTTGTCTCTGAAAACTGGAAGGTAAAATAGTTGTAGACACTTCATGACCAACATCCGGTGGTCACATCTCTTGTAACAACGAAGATGATACGTGTGTTTTCTTTCTTCCCGAGAAAGAAAGAAAGTTTCTCAGACACTTAGGCTGTGTTTGGTAGCAAATTAAAGTGAAAAACAAAGTATCGAAAAACTGTAGTATTTTAGCTTGTTGGTGTAAGATACCACGTTTTTCACATACCAAACTATTTTATAGTATTGATAATACACTGACCTGTTTGGCTAGTGCCGCATGCACCAATGTGAAATTGGTTTTAGCTAGCTTTGACCTTTCATGCAACCGATCGGCCATGCATACTTACCATCCGCATGCACAAATTGAACAGCACTATACGGCCATCTCATGGCTTGTAGCTTACCATGGAGGACACTCTGCAACATGATGTAGACGATGATGCACGACTAGATGGCTTGGCCTTCTTCTGCGTCACCGTCGATCTGCGTCACCGACGTTCCAGCGCCGTTCTGCGGCTCTGCATCCATGAGCATAGTCGGCAAGGTACGTAGCCATGTGAGTAACCCATGGCTAGCTACCTCTGCAGGCGGAAGCACACTTATGGCTAAATCATGCATGGTAAACTGGATTAGAACCCCTGTGTTAGCTTATATTGTGGGTGACCAAGGTCAGCGTGCTGCCCAACTTCCCAGCTCACGTAGAGGAACGGGAGGAGGGCAATTGGATTAAGACCAGCATACTTTCTTTCCTCGGCTGTCTCTTCGTTTGTGCATGGTTGGCAAAGAAAATCTCCAGAGACGACGGGACGACGGCGGTGTGACGGCGGTGTGAGGCGAAGAAGATAAGGACACCCGTTCTTTCCCGTGCTCAGTTTAAAAAAAAAGAGGTCTGGGGTTCTTTTTTTAAAACAGAGAAAATACTATGGTTTTGAAAATACCGTAGTATTAATACTGCAGTTTTTATGGCTAACCAAACACCTCATAGTAATTAAAACTTTAGTATTCAGAAAAACTGCAGTATTGTCAGAATACTTTGAAAATACTTTGCTATCAAACGGGGCCTTAGTGTCTCACCGCCTCCAGCAGGCACCGCCGCCGATCTGCCTCATCTCGTGTGGCCTTAGGGCCGTGAAGGTGTGGTGGACCCCGGCCGTTGCCAGCGGGGGGCTCATGCTTTGTTTTAGGCAATTTTTTGAGTCTTCTTAGGATTTGTATCCTACCCACGAGAGCCAGGCGGCGGCGTCTCCCTTCCCGAAGATGGAATAAGGACATGTACAATGGTTGATAAGATAGTCTTATCTTAAGTCTTGCATCTAATTTATAGATGACAAAAAAAATCTACAATGGGTCATTTCTTAGCTTTATCGTTAATAACTAGCTATTCCTAAAAATGTGGTGAGACATATTGTGCTAAGAGATTATCTCTTGTCTTCTCTTAAATAAGAGAAGACAAGCCTTTTCTTATGAGTTCTCTCTCCTTCATCTCATCATTTATCCTACGTGACACTTTTAAAATAGCACCATTGTACATGCCCTAAGGTTCTCCCCTCCTAGGCCCCATCCTGGCGGTGCGTCTCACGTTATCAGATGTTGTGTGGATGTGTGTCTCTGGTGGATCTTATGGTATTTGGTCAGTGTTTGTCTTCGGGGGATCTGCGTGTATTCAGTCTTCGTTCGTTTGCGTTCATGTGTCTACCTTTTGGATCCTTCTGATCTACCCTTCTCTTCATCGATGGTGGTTGTTGTTCTATTGCGCTGGTCTTTTGGGGCCTTAGCATGATGACTTTCTGAATGTCTACTATAACGAGGTTTGCCTATCTCTGGTGAGGGAGGGGCGATGGCGGCGGCACACTTTGGCTCGCTCCATTGGTTGTAATCGTCGCTAGGTGGTCTATGAAAATAGATGTAATTTTTGTTACTTCCCGTGTTCTTTGTAATGCTATGATATTTTGATTAATAAACCAAAAATGTTTACATAAAAAGAAAATGACTGGCATCCGGCCGCTGAAAATACAACCAATGTGGGGGAAGCCAATTCTTGAGTGTACCTAGGCAAGCCCAAACCTGCAAGATTACTATGGCGGCTGGTCCTCCAGAGACCATCCTTGGCTCCAGTCAAAGAAGCTGTTCGCCACGTACGCGGATGTGTGTCTTGTAGGGAATTCGCGAGGTTGCTCATGTTATTGATAGAGCCTTCAAGGTTGTAGATGTCAACGTATGTAGTGTAGAGCACATCCTCTAGTACATCATCTTGGGGTTGCTCCTCCTCTTCATCCATGGCAAGTTCATCGTTGCTCACATCCTCCCGTTCGGGAGCCTCTTGATCGAACGCTTCATCTCCTCCTTGTTGCACATAATGCAATATTCCACCATCTATCAAGAAACAGTTGACCATGGTAGTAGGGAGCAAATTTCCCACTCCAGGAATTCGAATGAAGTGACGACCTTGGCAGGCTATTACCATCCCCGCACTTGAAAGAACATGTATATTAACAAGGCTATTACCGGCAAGTGGGCGTAGGTTGTTGAAGTTTGAGTCAAGGAACCTATCCGCCACAAGCGATATCTTCTTGTGCCAAATTTACTTGGTGTGCAAGGTAAAATAAAAGTATCGCGCCCAACTTGGGAGAGTAGGCAATACCAGGAATCACGGCCTTCCCACAAATCAATAGATAAGATTACAAAAAGACGAGAGAAGCATAATTGTGAATTAGGGACAAGAGGGAATGGGCCGTATAGAAAGTCAATCCTTCCTTTTCTGATATGCCACTCCGCAAGCAAGGAGTGCCACCCACGAGCGGAGCGAAAACTAAGAAAGGGGAATTCCATCATTCCATGGAAAGCATGCAAAATCTTTTGATTGTTTATAGAATGAAAATAACTATATAGTCTTTCTTGTTCCACTTGCAAGGCAAGGAAAATAAGATGTCAGTATTCTCTTCATTAACCTTTAAAACTTCTACTCATGCCTGCAACGAGTTAGTGATATCACAATAGAGATAATGTATAGCAGGACACTCAATGAAAATTGCTCTATGCTTATAGCCTTGGTAACTCATTTGACCGAATAAGTCAGCTGGATGAGGTTCGAGCAAATCATAGGTGTAGCAGTAGTGTTCGTCATTGTTGGGGAAGCCGAAGTGAGTGCACCACTCCATGAGAGTGATGTCAAAATTCCGGTCCATGCCACGAAAACTGGTATGCTCCTCCTCTTCTTCGAGGTACAACCCAGCATTGTGCGAGAGAGTGCTAAGAAGCTCAAGCGTCAATCGATGATATGTCACGAAGCCCTGAGACACAAAATGTTGCAAACCAACATTAGCACATAAGAATTTGAAATCGTTACCAGTTCCAACCATGGCTATTGTGAATTGACACGCCCATTTGGTGGTTTTCATCTTCCTCTCGTGTAGCACTCAATACTACTTCTTTGCTTCATGATCGACAAAGTTGATTCCCTAAAACAAATTCCATTGCCTACGCTCAACTTCATCAGGTGCAGTGGCGGCTTCACCGTGAGTTATACGAGCGGACCTCCTTCTAAAGATCTAAACAAAATAAATTTGTAGTCGAATAGAATGACGCACAAGTGAACCTACATTAACCACAAGATCAAACTCCTCCAAAAACAATAACAAATTCACGCTCATCCAAAAATATTAGAACAAAGTACACATAACCTAAATATGCCGCAATGCTAGACACATAGGGAATGGATTCTTGGAAAATAAGTTGGGATCGGAGGAAAAACATACCATAGAGCATTATTGAAAAAACGATTATAGGAGAGAGGTTGGGCGAGGGTTTCATAAGGATTGGAGATGTTTAGGTGGAAGAAGAAAGAGTTAGAAGAGAGATGAGGAATATTTACCTTCTCTTCGGGTGTTATTGGCGCCGTCAGAACACGGTACGAATGCTCGCGCTCTTACCGAAAACCATCAAACATCCCGAATAGTCAATAAAAAAAGAGACATTCGGTAGCTTTGATTGTGACTTCGTTATAATCATCGGTATGAGTGCTTTCGCTCGTACCAAACACCGTCTTGGAAAATAAGACCATCTGTCAGTTTGGGTCTTGACAAGGTACGACCATCAGTACACGCGTCCATGCTCGTGCCGGATGTCATTGGTCGCTTTGGACCTTCATGACTTTCCTCTCCTCCCACGGTACTACCGCCGGTATGACCATTCTGGTCATATCAAGCGCTGTCAGCCTCTGTAACACCCGAAAACAGTTTTCGTCAGGATTCTTTTTAACACCTGAGAGGTTAGTTCCAAGTTCCAACATAGATAAAAGGTCTAGTATCCAGACTTTGAACATACGATCAATACATAGCATCTTATTAATATAATCAACCTCGGTGGCGACACTTTTTATCTTCTTTTCCTCTAAGCAAAGACTTCAGCAATCTTTATTGAAACAACCAAGAAAACTTACTTACATCTCATCTACCTTATTTGCATGGGTTGCCTCCCAGGAAGCGCTTCACTTTCAGTCGGTAAGCTCGACGGTAGTGACGATCTTCTACTCCGATGTGATAATGTCACGCACATAACTTCTGGCATATATGATGATACCTTCTCCTGCATACATATTCATCTTCTTTCAACGAAAGTTCAAATCACACATTTCCTTCAAATACATTAATGGTAGCTTTTATAGTTCTTAAGAATGGGCTACCTATAATAGGCGCGATGGGATCTCCAGGAATATCAACGATAACAAAGATCAATCATAACATGGCAATCATTAGTTTGAATGACTACACCATGTATACTTCCTACTGCATGTGTAAAGATAGAATTGACCATGTTCAACTTCATTTCACTAGCAACGAAAGAACCAAGATTGAGATTATAATAAATGTACTTACGAATAGTGGAAACACTAGTACCTAGATCACAAAAAGCATTAAACTTGTTCAATCCAATCTCAGTTTCTATAGTTGGCTCAAATATATCCTCTTGTTTAGTGGGAAGCTTACCATACACTTTGTTTTCTTTAGCATCTAATTCACATACCATAGCTGCAACTTGATCAACGAAATATTTGTATGCCTTGTCATTTGATACCTCAGGTAGTGGATACTTCAGTGTCAATATCTTGTTTTTTCATACAACATTGGTAACTCTTCTTTGACAGGTAACCTTATTCTTTCCCTACAACCATGGTAAAAACCAGATTTTTTTTGTCATGTTACAATAGGTGAAACGAAGAGGTTGCTTTTTTTGAACTTTGTGTTTCTTCCCCATAACTCATATACACAGAGAATGGTAATTTTGTTCTGGATTAAATGCAACATTGTAGGGGAATTTGTTAACTATTGTTACAAAGGACGTGTCCACTTGTTTACTGAGTGTCCTGAGGAGAAAATGGGAAACAGTTTATGTATTGACTGTATAGAACTGTACCAAGTGCATTTTTACACTCAGGAAAGTTGTGTGTGCCCAGAGTTTCCAACTAAATACATGCAATCATTCAAACACCCAGAGAAAATACATTTTGCAGTAGTATACTTGCAACATTGTGCTTGTATGTCAAGAACATAATCTTCTTAATGAAAAACATTTACAGATCATAGCTTGAAAAAACAAGAACATAATCTACATAACACACAACCTTAAATAATATTGATGTGTTGATCCCAATGGAAACTTGGACTTCAGCAAAGAACAAAGGTAAACCTGATTACATTACGGCATGCAAACTGGGAAGTCAGCAAATGATAGAAAACATATTACGACATGCAAACTGGGAAGTCAACAAACGATAGATAACATCCTTCCATCAACTCCATACGACACAACTTGGACTTAAAGAAGAACAAAAGGTAACCTTGCGATACAATATGGCATCTAAGCTAGGAAGGCTTCAAACGATAGACAAGCTGACATATGGATATGGTATTGCTAATCAACTTTAGTGATCTCGATCTTATTGCTTGGCATATTCTTCGACATGCCCAACCAAAAATTGACCAATAGGTGCACATCATCATCATCATTTTTCTGGTATATGATTTCAGTGAGCTTGAGGTTCTTGCACTCAACAGTCGCCATGTCCTGGGAACATGAGTGAGCCTTTTCCATTATCTTCTTTCTTTTTTTTTGAAATTTCATTATCTCCTTTCTAGAACTTTTAGGTCCGGGATCCAAGAGCTGTTGGGATTATAAAAAAATTAATATTACATACTAAACTGAGTAATGAAAGTAGTAGTAGTAGTAGTAGTAGTAGTAGTAGTAGTAGTAGTAGCACCTTGCAACAGCGCAACGTGAGCTTCTCCAAATTAGGTGAGTTCCGCAGGAAATGCTTCAGCGTGAGGAAGTCATCACTGATATCACATTCGGCAAGGGACAACATCTTGAGGTTTTTGAACTCGGGGAAAAACAGACCAGCATCGCCTCCAAGGACAAGAAACTGAAACATACATATTCAATTTCTGATTTTAAATGGCTATAGGCAAATGAGATGTAAGCTGAATAAACAGGGGGATATCGATAGTCAGAAATTGAGAAGGTATATACCATGACCCCAAAACGAGACAAATGTGAAGTCGTCACATTGAAAAGCTCGTTGAGCAAAGACAATTGCCTCTCAATTGGGCCGTTATCTTCATTGCTGTAATTGAACCTGCTCACAGTCACCAGACAGATCGATGCAGCGACAAGTGATGGCATGCTCGTCACAGTCGTCAGACCCATGACAACTGAATAATTGTTAGAAGAATGACCGGCAAGGCGGAGGGAAGCAAGGGCAGGAGCCTCCAAAATCAGCCTGAAAGAAGCATCCTCCCTCACCACATGGAAGCCGACGATGACCAATTTCTTTAGCGAGGAGGAGGTGAACCTGATGTCCTCGGTGAGCCAGTAGCTGCAGTTTTTCAGTCGCATGTCCTCAAGAGCAGGGCACCGCGAACTGATGTGCCTGGCAAAGTAACCGTCCAAGGACACGTTGTTAAGATGCAACCTTTCGAGCCGGCTAGGCCAAGTCTCATCCTGACTTATGCCATGGCGGACCCAGCTGTCAGCATGGCATCTGCCATAGCCATAGCCATAGCCATAGCCATAGCCATAGCCAGGGTCTTCGTGCAGGCGAAATTCTTCTAGGAGTGCAACGTTGTGGCGGTGCAGCAGGATGTGGGCGAAGTTGTTGAAACTCAGCCTCTCGACGAGGGAGCCGTTGCCGGTCGCCGCGGCATGGAACTCCCGCTGGTCGACGCGGAGGCACGGCACGGAGCGCCAGAGGTGCCTCCACCGAGTGGACAGCACGCACGTCCGCACCACCTGCCGGGCCTTGAGGCGGGAAAGGACGGCGTGCAGGAGGTCGTCCGGCAGGGCGCTCAGCCGGTCCACAGAATGCCCAACGCCGCCGCCACCGTGGCCGCCGCGTGCACGCTTCAGCTTGTCGGGGCCGTCCATGGAGCGCGAGCTCCAAGATTTTCTCAGTGCTTAGAAGGCGGCCGGCGCTTGGGTTGGACGAGGTGCATGCATGTGAAGGGGTTGGACGAGGAATGGGGAAAGACGAGTAGACGACCTCCAATAGACTGTTCATCTGGCTCATCGGGAATAGTAGGTTGTTGATGAACTGGCTGTACACGCTGTTTAAGAAAGACGAAGAAAGAACTGGTCACAAATTAATCTCTGCCACTATGATGCTACTAGTAGTACTACTAGTAGTTCGCGTCAAGTGTGCGACTACTAAGAGCATGGTTAATAGTATAGCCAGCTGCTGGCTATAAACATGTGCCATGTCATCTACAGTCCATCATATAGCCAACATGTACAATAGTAGATCAAAAAATGTACTACTTTTTTATTATGTGGCCCATCTTTCATTCTCACAAAGTGCCTAGGAGCACGTGCTAGAGCTGGCCTTCTCTCTCCTCTTCTCTTTCCTCCAACTAAGCAGAAATATATTACTTTATTCCTTATAGCCCGCTGGCTCAGCTCTATTGTACTTGCTCTAACCGGGCATCTCCTGCGGTGACCCACAGTTCACCAGCAGGTTCGGCAACAACTTCTACTTCCATGACGTGAAATATTAGGACTTTTGCGTCTTACAATTCCGTTCAAATTTTATTGTTTCTCCATTGAAGTCGAATAAGTACTACCTTTTATCTCGGTTGGAAGTATTGCCCCTTTTATTCATATATATTCAGCATAATCCGAGTGCAAAGCATGCTCCACAGTAGAATCTGGGC